TTATTTATAAATTAAATCATTTTATAAAAAATTTCCAAGCAAAGGTTAAATTGGAATATTTTTATTTTAAATATTCTAGTATTACTATACAAATAGTTTCAAGGAAAAGTCTACATGTACATAATAGTGTTCATAATGTGATGTAGACAAAATCCTAGTACATGCGCAGATGCAATATGCATGCCCATTCGGTTCAATGATTCAATGTATACCATGGGAAATGGGCCCCACGTGCTCATGGGCAAGTGGACAGAAGTATCTAAAAAGATTGGAATATAAATCTGGCGCGTGACTCAGCCACGTATTTAATTTGATCGGTTCTGATTGAAAGTTGGATTGTAATCAGATGCTACGTTACTATTGGATGCAATTTCAAGTGTCCCCAAATATCAAAAGAGATAGAATCTACTGAGTGGTGGTGAGTATTGCACCAGATAGTTGGAGTACCTGCCCTGCAATCCTACCCGTTAATCTCAGCCACTTAAAAGATGTATCAATCGGGTGACGCTCCACGGGTAGCTTTTGACCTTTTCCTTTTGCCTAGGTCTAGCTGGAAGAATTCTTTGCTAAGAATGGTCTGCTTCTGCTTGTATAAACAGCTAACGACATCTTTCGCCAAGTCTGCGTTTACTTGAAAATTCGTCAGTCAGCTCTCGCTGTTCGAGCTTTCGTTTGACAAAGATTTATTGAAAATGTACGATCGATAAGAAGAGAGAGAAAAATGAATTATAATTTAATGAGGGCCGAACGAAAACTTATAAATCATTTATAAAATTTCGAACTTTTTTATTGATACATTCTAAGAACATGCAAGTATTAACTGTATTATTTACTTATTCGTCATTTTTTTTATTTATAAATTAAATCATTTTATAAAAAATTTCCAAGCAAGGTTAAATTGGAATATTTATATTTTAAATATTCTAGTATTACTGTACAAATAGTTTCAGGGAAAAGCCTACATATACATAATAGTGTCCATAATGTGATGTGGAGAAAATCTTGTTGTTGATGTGAAAGTGTAAGATTTGAATTAATGGTTGGATCCAATACCACATGTAATTATGGACACAGTTATCTATCAATGAAAACAATTTGTTATTACACAAATTAAATACATCCTTTTTTTATCTCAACGATCTAACAAGTCGAGGGGGAACTAAACATAGGAGAAACAACAAAAAAAGAATATGCTTGTTTGGGTTTCATTATAAATTACTAAAATTATTGAATGATGTACTTAGATATTGTATATCCTATAAAATATGTAATTAAAATCTCGCTTTAACCTTTAAATTATAAAAAGATTATAATGAGAGGAAAACATCTTTGAAAATTCCTTTTTCTTAATAAACGAAGAAGCTCTGCGAATAATATATCAATAAATGTCATCCTGAAGTCTTGATGGATATTATTATTATTATTTTACAGTTGTTTGTTTTATAGTTCTTGAAATGGAATTTATGGACGAATAATGAGGGATGATCATCGTAAATTTACAAGTCATTTTTATATGTAATTGAAGGCAAAGTGGAAAGATTTCGTGGACTCTATTGGGGAGAAAAAAAAACATGTGTAATTATTCATGTTGTTCCAAATCCTATACTTTAATTGTGTCAAAGTGGATTGTCGTGTGATATAGTAGGATAGTGTTTTCCATACATTTAAAAGTCAACCCATCCTTAGCAAGATGAAGTGTATTTGCAAATTCAGCATCGATCATTGGCAGCTTCCTTTAGTGGCCTCACAAAGGGTTGACTGGCTGAGTTTCCACTATGGAAATAAAGAGTTTTACTATTATTATAGTATAATTTTAAAGTCAATCCCACTTTACATGTTGCAAGTACTCTCAATCAATCAAGTAATCATAATCCTAATTAGTTACATATTATTGAAAGAGATGAACATTTTAGAAAAAAAGTTTTGAAAATACGATGAAAATCTTACGAAATGTAAAACTAACTTAGTTCAAATGAAAACTTTGTTTTGAATACCATGGTGATCGTCCATGTAGCATGTTGGATTTTATATGAAATGATAGTGAAGTGAAAGAGAGAAATCAATACAGGAATTTAACGTGATTCGACAATGTACTTACATTTACAAGAAGCCAAGCTTATTCAGTATGAATAATAGGGTTACATCATCAATGCATATATTAATCATAGCCCTAACCCATACAAGACTTTAGGGTCCGTACAAGAAAATACTCATATACGTACTCTTCCAATGAACTTATGTTCTACTCTATATGAGCTATATATACAACACAACATTTGACAATATTTATTTGCATTTTACTATGTCCGAAATAACTATAGAAATCAATACGAAGGAAATTTTTTATGATCGTAAAAGATACAGATGACAAACAAAACACACTTTTGCTTATTTGGAACACGATGTGTTAATTAAAGGATGACAAACAGGCCACGTCACAATATGGTTTTAGACAAACACATTCGCTAAGTTTTTATTGTAGAAATGATCGCAATATTAACATGTTAAACTTTTTAAAGTTGACTGCCTCAATTTTTACAACGTAAAGTTGATGGACCATTGGCAAGCACGGTGGAAGATAATTTGACTAGTTTTTTTTGCCCAAAATTCAAAAATACGTCAGAATAAATATATTTTTTCCCGTTTATTAATAAAAAAATAATTTTTACGGTTAGATAAATATGTCTAAAATAAAAATATATATAATGTGGTTTCATCTAAAAGAAAACCAAAACCATGAATTGACTATTAATGTGGTTTCATCTAAAAGATAAATTGACCATTAAGTGAGTTTATTATAAATAAGATAAACAACTTCCAAATGAATTGACTATTAATGTGGTTTTATCTAAAAGAAAACCAAGATAAGAAAGATGAGCACTAATCTACTTTTAGTTTGACCTCCATAAAGACTTTTGCCAAAATATCTAGGCATAAAATAATTATTTAGTTATCCACCACCTCCACTTGCAAATATGAAATTCAATAATAAAGCATGAAACGCATCCTTTTCGGCCCCCACCTATTCTGCCCTGGACCTTGTGAGGTAAATCGCAAATTATGCCTCCAAGGATATAGGGTGGAAGGCTACTTGTACACTTACACTTACCCAATGATCAAATCCATATTTCAGGATTCGAACCCTTGACGCGGCAGCCTCAAGCGAAACTGAAGTTTTTCCACCTTCCCCTTTTACCACTTGCCCCAACCCCACCCTCAAAACCACCCCCCCCGCCCCAACCCAACCCAAGCCAACCCCACCCCACCCCCACCCAACCCAACCCAACCCAACCCACCCCACCCCAAAACCATGTCACACCATTTTTCTCTCATAAGCCCAATGTAATAATAGAACTATAGAACATCAGAGTTCTCGATTCAATCGAAAAATTTATAAACAGGTCGAACATTCAGTATTAATGATTGTCAAAGATGGACCGACTTTAAAAAAATTAATATTCAGAACTCGTTAAAAATATATTCATCCCAATTAAATCTAACTTGATGATAAAAATTCTTATTGGCCACTTGCTTTCAAAGTTGTTTTTAAATAGTCATCATGCTTTAAATTTTTTGGAACACTGAGAGTTATTTTCTAGCAGTTATTGTATTTTTAACATTGTTTCTCATTTGTCGCGAGATGGTTTCAAATATTAATGATTTTGTTGCTACTACATCGAAATTTTTAATTTTCAAATTGAAGGAGACGGAATGATCGATGAACAACATTAAAACTACCATGACTACTTAAAAATATTTTAAAGTTTTTGGTAAAAGTTAGAAAACATTGGAACCTGGATCGAATATTTTAGCCCATGTTTGGTGACCTTTAATTTGATTTACTTTAATTTAATTTAATTTTTATACTCATTTTCAATCACATATTCCCATAATAAAATATTTTACACTTAAATCTAAATTTTTTCCTATATTTTAATCACGCATTTAAATTAAAGGCCACGGGGCCAAATATCTTTTCTTGTTAATGCCATGACATGTATGTCCATGGAAGAGTTTGTACATGATGATGATGGTATGACAGATGGCATCTTGAGGCATTAGGAAAATATCATAGCCACGTATGCTGCTCAGAGACACAAGCTAAAGATCTCCTCTTTCTCTACTATTTTGTATATTTATCTCTCTCCACTTCCTTCTCCGATTTCTCTCATTATTATCTCCACCCGAAAATCTATTAATTCCAACGCACAATTGTTGCATTTACCGTGGCTAGAGAAACTGGATCCGCTCCTTTGTTCAAACAAGAAATTCTTGATTCTATTCAGGCTTCCAAAAATCTGAGAAAACTGAACCAAGGTCAATTTTTTTTTTTTTTTTCCAAAATATTTATTTATGATGAGATATTTTGTTCTTGAATCTTTAATATCTTGTGTACTTTTGATTTTGGGTTGAAAGAGTTTCTGTGGAAAAAAAGTTGAAAATGTTATCACTGGCTTCACATCAATTAAAACTTGGAGAAAATAATGAAGCTTTGGTTTAACAGTGTCTGTGTTTGATTTTTTGAATTTCCATAACTCAGAAGTGAGGAATTATAATTTTTCTATTAATAAATTTTTGGGCGTGATATTTTGATATTTTCAGTTATTTCAGCCAAGGCATCAACTTATTGTGCTTTATGAACTGAAATTATTGTTTTCTGAATTTTTTTTGAAAATTAAGTTATTGTTTTTTAACAAAATTATAATCTTTTTAGGGATTTTAATTTTAATGAATTAATGGAGTTGCAGGGTAAGGAGCATGAATAATAATCCTGTAATTATAATACCAGGAAGTTTGCGTGCAATAAATTCTGTGTTCTGATGTTTGATTACTTAGGTTGAAGCTTTTGTGTAATTGACTGATGAAGGGATTTACTGAAGCTCTCTGTTTGGTTTCAGGCAACTTTTGAATTAGGGTCTTTAAAAACTTGATTGGTAGCAGTTGTTGTGGAGGTTTATGATTTTTTACCTTGTGACAATACGTATGGGATAAAAAGATTTATGGCAACATCAAATGAGAGGTGGATCGACAGTCTTCAGTTTTCCTCATTGTTTTGGCCACCTCCACAAGATGCTGAGCAACGGAAGGTGTGGTTTTTATATCTTACATTTGTGTTCATCTCAATATATTTTCTCTGTTCATGTTGAATCTTGTAGTTTCCTCCTGAATGCAAGCAGCATATTTAAGTTGCTGATTAGATCCATGGTGCATGACTTTAACTCGTTTTCTGTTAGCAGAGTTATTAAATGGGCTCCTTATAATTAATTTAGTACATAAAAAGGAAGCCATTTACTACTATCTTAATTAAACCTTTTTATGAAATCAAACTGTTTCTGTATAAAATCTTTAATTTTTTTTGTCTTCCTTTAGCTGTCGCTAATTCACATATTCACTTTTTAACAATTTTATCTTTTCTTGTTCCTATAGGCCCAAATTACTGCCTATGTTGAGTACTTTGGTCAATTCACATCGGAACGATTTCCTGAAGATATGTCGGAGGTTTGTTTATTCTTTTACATTTGAATTACCCTTTTTTGGGTGTTGAGGGGAACTTTTTAACTATTTCACTTTCATCGTCTACATTTAGGTACCTCTTTACAGTGAAAGTTATACGTTTCTAACTGGTAATTACTGGTTTTTCAGCTGATCCGGAGCCGATATCCCTCCAAGGAAAATCGACTTTTTGATGATGTTTTGGGTACTTATATTTCTTTTATTGACTATATTATGATTAATCCCCACTCATAAGTTATCACACCAAAATATAATGTTACCAGCCTAGTTTATGCGGCAAAATGACTTATGTTTCACTGTTTTCCAGCAACGTTTGTCCTTCACCATCCGGAGCATGGTCATGCTGTTATTCTTCCCATTATTTCTTGTATCATTGATGGTACACTAAAGTATGATAGAAATGGTCCTCCATTTGCTTCTTTCATTTTCTTGGTCTGCCCCAGCAGTGAGGTATTACAACACTGAAGATATTATTGCTTGACGGTGTTCTGTATGTCTTTCCTTAATGAACAATTTTAGCATGTTTAGAGCTTCTGTTATTGGATTTTTCTCTCTTCATTTCACTAGTTGTAATGACTAAAGATTATCAACTTTTCTAGATATGCACCTTTTATGATAGGTAACTTTAAAGTAGGAATGATGCTAATGACTCAAATCTTTGATTTCAGAATGAGTATTCTGAGCAGTGGGCACTTGCATGTGGGGAGATCCTACGAATCTTGACTCACTATAATCGCCCACTTTACAAGATTGAATGTCCAAATAATGAAGTAGATAGAAGTAGCAGTGGAATTCATGCTTCAACAAGTAAATCAACAGATGCAGAACCTTCTTTGCCTTTCTCCCAACAAGAGAGGAAGCCATTGAGGCCATTATCTCCGTGGATTACTGATATATTGCTTGCTGCACCTCTTGGTATTAGGAGTGATTACTTCCGTTGGTAAGTGAGTGAAAATTTGATGTCATAGTGTGTTTATTTAGCCCCTATTTGGTATAAATTAAAATCTAGATTTTAATTTAAGTCAAAATCAACAACTAATTTTAACAACACATTTTAAGGGACCTACAACTTTTCAACCATACATTTCATCAACTTTTATAAAAATCTACTAAAAACCCAATTTTAATCTCCACCAAACTAGGGCTTAATCAAATTACATTCATGATTCGTGCATTTATTTATTAAAATTATATTCATAACAATGACTAGTGAAAATTTAGTACTTTCTCCTCTTTTTCATGGAGGTAGGGACAAGGTACTAGGATTTAATATAAACTAGTTCTTTAGAATACTAATATGATATTTGTACAAACTGGCTAGCATGTTTGTACATGATAAAGTGAAGTGGAGGGAAAAATGAAGAGATTGATCACAGTGTCGAATCTTGAATTTATGACCAACAATATTACAACTTGACTAGTCGAATAGGAATTCAACTAGGATTTATCAATAGAATCAGTCAGTTGATTTCCCTAAGTTGGTTTAATTTTATTTCTTGTATATTATGTAATAATATGCTTAGAATTTTTTATTGTTATTTTTTTACAGCTATACTGTGACCTATGTTGCTGGTTGTTTTTCCTTCAAATACCATGTAGTTTTAGCAAATCAATCGTTGTGAAATATTCTAATTCTCATCATGGGGTTGTAAGGCTGTTGTTTCTTTCCAACTGATAGCCTAAGCCTTCATTGCTAGCCATTTTAGTTATCCTATGTTACAATTCAGAACGAACTGAGATGTGAATATCATACTTTCATCTATTGTATCACATATTCATAAATAATCTTTCATGGACTAAGCCTTCATTGCTAGCCATTTTAGTTATCCTATGTTACAATTCAGAACGAACTGAGATATGAATATCATACTTTCATCTATTGTATCACATATTCATAAATAATCTTTCATGGACTAGGACCCTAAGGAAACAAATACCACAAAATAATACGCAATTACTGGAGGTCAACTATACCCTAAACACAAAATGATTACAGAAAATAAATCCCCAATTTCAAGGATTTTCACCTAACACTCAAAACGCCTATTTTTCATTTTTCCAATCAATATGCCATTAGTAAAGTCCATGAATCAACTCGTCAATCAGCTCACCATGCCGAAACGTCTTCCCTATTGTATCTTGGAAACAACTAGAGGGAGTAGATGTGATGGAGCAATTTAAATCTTTTGTAAGCTTTCCAATCAACAAAAAATTGTAATTAAATTTGGGGCATGAAGGACAATGTTTAGCTAATTGAACTTGAAATTTGTACAGATCCTTAACCAAATGTAAAAAAGATCTGTATGCCACTTTTGGTTTTTTTTCCTTCTCTAGAGCATGGAGAATAACTCATAAAATTATTGCAAAAGCTAATAATATGATCAGAAGCACCGGAATCAATTATCCTAAAGTTTGGATTTTTTTATGAAAGAGATTGGAGTTCTGACACCTAATTGATCCATTGAACAAGAACCTATTTCAGCAGACTTACTTTTCTTTATATTCCTCTTTGTGGATCCTTGTTTACTTAGTGAACTGCATGGAAGAAAGTCTAGTTTTCTCTTCCTTCACATTAATGTTCACCACGTTTGATAACGAAGGTGCCCAGGTTTTGTGAGGCCAGACTTATTTCATCTTTGGGTCGAGTGCTGGTCCAACTTATGAACCTTAGGAGTGCTATTGCTGACATGGTCTGTCCTACGGAGGTTTTAAGTCATGAAAAGCTGCTTGAGGATCTAGTAATTGCCTAATGTATTCTGATGTGTCCCTCAAGTCTTGGTGATGCTTTATCAAGTGGATGACAGTATTCCTTCACGCTAATTTCCGTTTCTATGGTTGTGTTAGGTGCTAGGCATTGTGTGCTCTAGAGCCCCTTTAGGGCCTCTTTATTGGTTGGGAAGTTTGCTGGATGCCACATCATGGGCCTCGGAGGGAGAAGTTTTCTTCTTGTTGGACTAGTTGTGCCTAGCCTAAATGATTAAAATTGTGAGTCAAAATTGCAAGGAGCAGACGGCAACTCTGTCTTCAAAGCCAATTTGGTTTCTATATTACTATCTATATTTAGTTTGAGGTGGAGTTGAAGATTTGACTTTCCCTATTTAGTAGAATCCTAGATAAGCTGGAAACAAGAAATATATTCACACCACCTTGAGGGGGATGGTTGGAAGATTTGACTTTGTTCAATCAAATCTTAGACAAACTAGGCTTTTATTTCTTTCCTTGTTAAGAGACTCAACCTAGTTTTTTTCTTTGTTTATGACATATTATGCTATGTACTCAGAGAAGATTATGGTTGGTATAAATTTTCTATTCTTCTTCATATTTGTCTCTCAATTACTTTTACAGTTTACTATCCTACAATCTTGAATAATGTTGAGTTGGCATCATATGTCCTTATATTCATGAAATTGCAATATTCGTGTATTCATAGGTGCGGCGGTGTCATGGGGAGATATGAAGCCGGAGAACTAAAGCCGCCTTCAACAGGTTAGTAGATTTTCTGTTTTGAGTAACATTTTCTGCAAGTTGCATACACGCTTTGATGTTTTTATTTTTATACTTTTACTTCTAACAAGACAGTACTGGGAAGTTGTTATCAGCAACAATGTTTCTCATATGCTTTCATAATTTGATAATAATTTTAACCCCTATTATGTTCCCCTGCTGCTATTGCTTTTCAGACATATTTACTATTTCTATGTAGTATTAGGTTAAGATCAGTAGAATATCCTGGAACCATGTAACTACAGAAATATCGACTGGCTTCTAGGACTAAGCCCTTTACAGATGACACTGCTAGTGTTGTTTCTTGAAAGCTCATTTGGAACGAAGGATTTCAGGACCATTGTATAATCCTGGTACAGAAACAAGGTTATTAGCATGCAAATAGTTTTTTTTTTTTAAATAGTGTGAGATGAGGGTTAACAAGTTTTTTTTTTTTTGATAGGTAATCACGTAATTTTATAAATAAATCAAAAGATAATACACAAGGAGGAAACATTGTTTGGCTTCTTTGGGCTAAGAGGAAACTTTTGTTGGATTTAATGTTAGAAGAATTTCGTTCAGGGATTTCGCCATATGATGTGATACCATTCTTTCTTTCACTTGTACATCTAGGTTTCTTCTCCTTCATAAGTGAACTATCTTCATTAGGTTAACTCATCAATCTAATAGGTTTACACTATCATGTATCACCATACATTCCTCGTACGCCTCCTCTACAAACCAACAGTTGCTAAGCAGTGTTCAAGTGGCCTATCTAGCCTTTTGAATTCCAAAGCATGCACCAACTAGTCACCGCTACCTCAAGTCCTCGAGAGTTTTCTTGGAGAGCTTGCCTGGCAAAAGCACTATTCTTTTGGTCTGATGGGAACCGAAATCGACTCCTCTAATAGTGTGCTTGTTTTGTTGCACGTGTCCAAGTATCATGTTATCAATTTCGTGACCTTCATATTAGCATTCCACTTAAACAACTAAGCAATTTTTAAATTCAAATCTTGAATATAGACACATGCTCCTGTTAGCTTTCCTTCCTGTTGAGTATTTGCCTTTTAGTTTGTTAAACATGAAAACAACTATAGTTTGGAATGAGGACGACTTATTATTAACTTATATTGTGTTAGCTTCTTCTCGTGGATCTGGAAAGCATCCACAACCAATACCCTCAACTCCTAGATGGGCGGTTGCTAATGGTGCTGGCGTCATACTAAGTGTATGTGATGAGGAAGTAGCTCGTTATGAGTCTGCGACGTTAACTGCAGCAGCTGTTCCTGCACTTCTGCTCCCTCCCCCAACAACACCTATGGATGAGCATCTAGTAGCAGGGCTACCAGCTCTTGAGCCATATGCACGCCTATTTCATAGGTATGTTTCTGGGAATGCTTATAGAAGCATCAATTGATTCAAATAGAGAGCTAAGTTATCCTTCTGGCTTAGGTACTATGCAATTGCTAGTCCAAGTGCTACCCAAAGGCTGCTTCTTGGACTTCTAGAAGCTCCGCCATCTTGGGCCCCAGATGCACTTGATGCTGCTGTACAACTAGTGGAACTCCTTCGAGCAGCAGAAGACTATGCCTCAGGCATGAGGGTAAGTTCTGTGTCTTCATTTCTTTTTATTTTTAATGTGAATCCGAACAGTTATTATATAAAGAGGGGAAGTTTGAATCTAGTCTTAAGAAAATTACATAATAGATTGCCAGTGATTTCACAAAGAGCCACATATCTGCTTATTGTTTTACCATGTTTATTTCTGTTTTTTGTATATGAGCTATGTATTTGCTTAGCATTCCGATGAATTCCACACCTTCAGATGTATGTGAAAGGACATTTGGGAATGATAAAGTGGCCTTAATTTTATGGGTTGAATTTCTAGTTTAACATTGCTTATTGTTAATAATTTGTTCATTTGAATTGTCTATCAAGTTACTTGAGTAAATGCATATTTTGTCCAAATTTATGCCTTGATAATCTCAGTCCCCAGGCATTCCTGAGGGGAAAAATTATTCTCTCTTTTGCTGAATAATGTTTATTACTGTTAGATTTAGTCCTTTAGAACTTAATAAGCTCTCAGTCTAAGTTTCTGCCTATTAGGATTATGAAAAGCCCAAAAATGGAGACAAAAGAGTGAATGATTTAATATTGATCTGAAATGTAAAGCAATACAGAAAGGTGTTCATCTGCAATGCCTCGGTTCAGCATAAAGAAATCCTAATTCTTTTGACTATTGGTGCAGCTTCCAAGGAATTGGATGCACTTACATTTCTTGCGTGCAATTGGAATTGCAATGTCCATGAGAGCAGGTATTGCTGCAGATGCTGCAGCTGCTTTGCTTTTCAGAATACTTTCTCAACCTGCCTTGCTTTTTCCTCCCCTAAGACAAGTTGATGGTGTAGAAGTTCAACATGAACCTCTGGGTGGTTATATTTCTAGCGAGCGAAAGCAGGTACTTCTATCTGTATTCTTTTTCTAATGAATGTCAACGTTGCTATAACATTGTTTCCTTAACTGATTAAGTATTTCAACAGAGAGAACTGCCTGCAACAGAAGCAACAGTTGAAGCTACTGCCCAGGGAATTGCATCAATGCTTTGTGCACATGGCCCTGAGGTTGAATGGAGAATATGCACAATATGGGAAGCAGCTTATGGATTGATTCCTTTAAGTTCATCTGCTGTTGACCTTCCTGAAATCATTGTTGCAACCCCTCTGCAGCCCCCTATATTATCATGGAACTTGTTCATACCTCTTCTTAAAGTTCTTGAATATCTTCCTCGTGGAAGTCCATCCGAAACCTGTCTCATGAAGATATTTGTTGCTACTGTTGAAGCAATTCTCCAGAGGACATTTCCACCAGAGTCCTCTGTAGAACAATTCAGAAAAACAAGATATTCATTTGGGTCTGCCTCCAAAAATCTTGCCGTGGCTGAACTTCGCACGATGGTCCACTCACTGTTCTTAGAGTCATCTGCCACTGTAGAACTTGCCTCTCGCCTTCTTTTTGTTGTATTAACTGTCTGTGTCAGTCACGAAGCACAGCTCAATGGGAGTAAACGACCCAAAGGTGAGCGTTCTCATCATTCCCACGAAGTAGGTGCAGATTCACAAGGTGCCACTAGAAAGCAAAAGGACAGGGGAAGTAAACGAGGAAAGAAACAAGGACCTGTGGCAGCATTTGATTCTTATGTTGTTGCTGCCATTTGTGCTCTATCCTGGGAACTTCAGCTTTTCCCTTTGATTTCCAAAGGGAGTAATTACTCAGATCCCAAAAGTATGTCTGACATAGCAAAGCCTGCAAAAGTAATTGAATCGCCCAGTGTGTTACGGAATGGCGTTGACTCTGCAGTTCATCATACTCGCCGGATATTGGCTATTCTAGAGGCACTTTTTTCTTTGAAGCCATCTTCTGTTGGCACATCATGGAGTTACAGTTCAAATGAAATTGTGGCTGCAGCAATGGTTGCTGCTCATGTTTCTGATCTGTTTAGACATTCAAAGGCTTGCACACATGCTCTTTCTATCTTGATAAGATGCAAATGGGACAACGAAATTCACTCAAGGGCATCTTCACTTTTTAACCTAATTGATATTCATAGCAAAGTCGTTGCATCCATTGTCAATAAAGCAGAGCCATTGGAAGCACAAATACTGCATGTGCCATTGTCGAAGGAGATGCCTTCTTTCAATGAAGAAAAACATAACGCATGTTCTAGCAGTAGCCACCTAGAATCAGGGCAACCATCGTCTATTCAGTGCACTAACTTGCCTGGTTCAAAGGCTTTACTGAACTCTGAGAAGCCTTCCCACTCCAGTGAAGTTGACAAGGTTCCAGTGGGAAAAGGACTTGCAAGTTTTCCAACAGAGGCTTCAGATTTGGCCAACTTTTTGACAATGGACAGGCACATAGGTTTTAATTGCTGTGCACAAGTTCTTCTTAGGTCTGTACTGGCAGAAAAACAAGAATTGTGTTTTTCTGTTGTTTCATTGCTTTGGCACAAGTTGATAGCTTCACCTGAAACACAGCTGAGCGCTGAAAGCACTTCCGCCCAGCAAGGATGGAGACAGGTAATCTGTCAAATTCTCTATGTCAAATGTCGTTGTTATTAATCATATTATAAGTTCAACATGCATACAGTAAGAAACAACATTGCTTGTTATTCTATTCTGTTGCTCTCTGTGAAGTTCATGAATTAAAATCCTGACCATCTTAGCTAGCTTCACTTGCTGTATTCGCTATTGGTTCATGATATTTTCCTTTTCCATTCAACTAAATATCATACCTCCAATTTATTGAAAGACTTAACTGATTATCTTCTGTAATACCTACAGGTGGTTGATGCATTATGCAATGTTGTATCGGCGTCACCCGCGAAAGCTGCGACAGCAATAATTCTACAGGTCCAGAACACACTATTAACTTCAATTTCCATTGGAAACTGACTTTTTTTTTTTTTTTACCATATTTCTGATTACGGGATGCCAAAGGGCTAGAAAAATCATTTCTTCCTTCAGTTTATGAAAATATGGATTAATAATTTCTTTAGGTCAAATGGCATTATGAGTTAATTTAAATGTCTGAAAGTCAGTCTTCCGATAATGGTTTATTTTGATTTCAGTTTCTAAGTCAGTCTTCCGATAATGGTTTATTTTGATTTCAGTTTCTGTCATTTGTTTTCTCACATCCTTTGTTTTGTGTATTTGTCAGGCTGAGAGGGAAATGAAGCCTTGGGTTACTAAAGATGATGAACTTGGTCAAAAGATGTGGAGGATTAACGAACGAATTGTGAAACTGATTGTGGAGCTAATGAGAAATCATGAAGCCCTTGAATCACTGGTAATTCTTGCTAGTGCATCAGACCTCCTCCTACGAGCCACAGATGGGCTGCTCGTTGAAGGAGGGGCATGCACTTCACCGCAGCTGGAGGTACCTTTTTCAGATTAGCATCATTTTTTTTTTGTATATACACCATGAATCTGTGATGCTACCAGCTTAACCATTATAAGTGGTCCCATATCTTCTACTCTAATGTGTTTCTTGGTAAAATTTACTTCTGTTTTCGCTTTTAATGAATGAATTTCTATATTCTATTGCTTTTGTGAATTAATAACAAGATTACACCCCAAAATGTTGGACAGCTATTGGAAGTAACGGCTAGAGCAGTTCAACCAGTGCTTGAGTGGGGAGAATCGGGACTAGCGGTTGCAGATGGCATTTCAAACCTGTTAAAGGTATAAATTTCTGTAATTAACAATTATGGTATCCCGAGATTTTAAGAAAATTTAGGAAGAGAGTGTTCGGACTTTTGACCGAGGAGTTTTCGCAGTGAAAGCTCCTCTTAGTAGGATCCACGTTACCTTTTCATGTTATATGATTTTGTCCCTTCATGAAACCTTTACAATTAGTATACTCATACGTGCATGCTTGCATATATATTAGGTGACTCATTTTCCTGCTGAGAAGGCAATTTATCACAAAGAATATAACGAATGCTGTGATTTAACATATTGCAGTTCTTGATTGTACAATTTAAAATGAAAGAAGCCAACTAATATGGTTTATCTGGCAATAATATACAGTGTCGCCTCCCAGCTACAGTTCGTTGTGTTTCTCATCCAAGTGCCCATCTTCGTGCTCTCAGCACATCAGTTCTTCGTGCTATTTTACATGCTAGTTCGATAAAATCAAGTAGCCAACAAGTGGAAAGAAATGGCATTTGCAGTCCATATCAGTATCTTAATGTAGGCATTACCCATTGGCAAGCAGATATTGAAAAGTGCTTAATATGGGAAGCCCGTAGCCGTCTAGCGAGTGGCTTGCCCATCCAATTTGTTGGTTCTGCCGCAAAGGAACTAGGCTTCACTATACCCGTTTGAAACTACCCTAACATATGGCGACTCTATAAGGTATGTTCTGAATCATATTACTGGTTTGTTGGCAGTCTTTTTACTACCTGCTGGAGATTATGATTCGTGTATAGTGAATTCTTAGACTAGGCCACCATTTTGCTTGTTGCCCTTTGATTTATTTGGAAGTCTTGAATTGATTAGATGTATAATGGTATCAATATTTGTCAGATGTTGAAGGGTGGCTCTCATTTCGATATTTACCACTTTGATTCTCATAACTATACTTTTCTTTCATTTCCTCATTGCTCTTCTTGTGTGGCGGCTGAAATGGTGACAAACCTTTATAGTAATAATAATAATAATAATAATAGCGACATTACATTACGGACATGTTTCGTATCCAGTAAGTGGGTCCTCAAAGAGCATCTCGTCTATATCTCATTTGACACATCACGTCTTGCACGTGATCGAGGAGTTGTAATTTTTCGAAGTTGAAGAACTTGCGCAATGAATTTAATTACCATTTATTTTTCCAAATCAGTGGCACATAAATCAAGAAACATAATATTGCAGCAGACTTTCCTTGTAAAATTGGGAAAATATAACATGGACCATAAAAGTGTAGAAAACTGCAATTATTCAGGATATTTGATTGATTTAGTTATCTTTGTTCAAGGAAGTTGAATTTGGAAATGTGATTTTCAGTGATTCAATTGAGACATTGATATTTTGTGACAAGGTTGAAATCAATTGAGACAAATTGAAATTTTATGACACGGCTGAAAGTCAAGTAGAAATTTACCCAGAAGTATTTTATGGATGGGAATGTAAGTATTGTCACGATCTACTCATTATCCTTACTGGGAGTATTGGAGAGCTTAAAGTGAAGTTTCCTCTGTGTTGGGCCCCCTTTTCAATCGTATATACTTATTTTGTTTGTTAGTTTTTCCATTTTCGTCGAGCATTCAATGTATTCTCCAGATCAACATCTATCAAAATGTACTATGTCGTTCAATGCGTTCCACCAAAAACAAATATATTCAAAAAATTGTACTCCATCAAATACTCAGATATTTCATACACAAATCAAACGTAATCTCTGATTACACATTATTAATATGTAATTAAACAAGATTAACGAGTAGTTAACTCAAGACTCGATCAAGGCCCTGCGTTCTTTACTGTATCATTTTGACGAGATTTCGTTACTACAGATCACGCTCATGTTTGATGGTTATTATTTCGAGAAAGTCGAGTTTTGAATAGTTAGGTTTTTGGAGATTGTGTGGTTAAAATGTAAGGAAAAATTTTGAATTTACATGTAAATATTTTATTTTGTGTAAATGTATGATTGAACGTGAGTGATAATTAAAAAATTCTGGGCTGCATCTTTGGCAGCAAGATTTTTGTTCCTCTTCAATGTTGTCTTCACCAAAACATCCGCCCCGCCCTCGTATTGACATAACCTAATATGATTATAATTTTCTTGGTTAATATTCATGATAAATTTGAAGGGAAGTGCTACACGTACATAATTTTGTACATAATGGTGTCCATAATTACACGTAGCACTGGATCCAACCTTTAATTCAAATCTTACAATTTCACATCAACAATCAGATCTTATCCATATCACATTATGGACACCATTATGTGACCAAATTATGTACACTTAGACTTTTCCATATTTGAATTCATTTTATTGTTGTATATGAGGATCGAGCTAGTCGATATTTGCGCACCAACTTTAATGTTTGCACAAAGATTTTGATCATCTTTGCAAGATGGTACAGTGGACATTCTCCATCCAAATTTGGACATTGGCAAAACTTTTAGAATTAAGCTTAGTTGCCACACAAAATGTGTGAAAAAAAAATAATTGGATGTCATGGTTGACTTTTTTTTTAAATAGTCTAATGAAATTATGTCATGTGAACATTCTGACAACAAAGATGTCATCCAAGATGTTAGTGTAGCATGATTGAACTTTTAAAAACGAACTATGCTACTTGTAAAATGAATTTGACAATAAGTTTGACAATGTGTGAGTTGGCAAGCACTATGTCCATTGATTTGAAAGATTATTTTTGAATTCAATGACAATGATCTATACATCTCACACATTGTCAAATCATTGTGCAAATTTATTGTACAAGTAGTTTAATTATTTAAAAACTGATTATATGTAAACTGACTCACGTGAAAAAGGCCGCATTTGAAAATGCTCTAGTTCAAGTTTTTATTTTATTACAAGAACCATGCTAGGTGTACACTAATGTGAGTGTGTTATAAGTGTTGTAACCCACTAATGATCGTACCAATAGCTTTTTTGTTATTACAATGCAGGGCATGGAGATGGGAATCAAACCTACATCTTCTATGTTGGAAATTTCCATTTGTGCCTCTAGATTCAAGTGGACCAGGCATTGAAAAAGAATTTATATTTAAAATGAAGAATACCTAAGATCTTTTGTTGTTGAATTACTTTTTCATGCTTTAAATACTATCAAATTGTCTAAAACTCAATCATCAATAGAAACAATTTATTTACTAATCCACACACCAACTTTTATGGGACTTTTGTACAAAATGATGGTTCTCAATTCATCTCATTTTTTTTATATTTCCATGCAATAATTGTGCATCTACTTGTTGCCGTAATATCTACATTCATAAGTCGAGGGGTTTCAGAATAGAATTCAAAACACGAAACTGCAAAACCAACCCAATTTGAGGTTGCGGGTTGGGCAATCCAAATCCATTTTATAGCTTATAAAATTTTAATCTATACGAGCCTTGTTCAATCCAACAAAATGTACCCATCCTTGCTTCAGTTTTGTCGCAAAACAATCTTCCAACACCAACGCAATGTCATCTTATTACAGGTTAAGCATAAAAGCAGAAGGTGCGAGAGGAAAAACATAAATAAATAAATAATCCCAAACTAAATTGAGAAACTTATAAGATAATAAACATGGGTGATTTGTCCCAAAATATCAAACCCCTTCAGGGAAATTAAATTAAAAGAAAAAAGTATAAAATTACAAAATTTTAAAAACTTCATTTATAAACTGATTCGCGAAATGTATCTTAAGTCGAATGATAAAAATTTTCCGGGTATCAACTATCCTCTGTATGTTATACTTGAGCTGCAGAAGATTTTAAACCTTATCATCAACTTCAGAAGATTCTGGTAGTCCCTGCTTTTGTTGGCTGCTTCTGGAAATTGAATTACTGCGTCGTTCCTTCCCCCCGGGTTTTGACGAGGCATTTCCATACAAAATCATTCCAAATATGGCAATAATCATGCCAAGAACGACATGTAAATTAAGGCCCTCTCTCCCGAAAAATAAGAATCCCAGGGTCAGTACAAGGACGGTCTTCATATGACCAAGAACTTGGAATGAGACAGCAGTAAATCTGCCAATGCAGATGAACTGACTGAGGTTAGTCCCTACGGCAATAGTGCACGAAAGGATTATGAACACCTGCAGAAGCAAAGGGAAGGAGAGTCATGAGGGATCATACATATGAAACACCAACACTTCGTGGATAAAGCCTTCTTAAATATTAAAGACATGTCTTGAGAAACAAGCAGATGTCGATATCAGGAAATTTAAATGATTATACTCAATATTCTAAGTTTATTAGATGCCGCAAGTTTTAGGTTCTTTCTCTAGGAAGAGGTGAAAGAATATTAGGGAAAATCGACAAGAATATTTAAAAAAAAAAAAATGGAATATGAAACACGGTACCAACAATATCAAGATTGCATCAAAAGTTAAGCATGCATATCTGGAAGAATAATAAATAATCCAACTTAAACATAGCTACTATGAAGTTCTCAAAAGAGTTGGTTATATAAATCCATCTTTCATCGGAAGCTCCCATGTAACCATAATAGGCATTTAATTTTGGTCAGGTTTTCCTCTTCTAACATGATCTATTGGGGCGGCACCACATTTGTGATTGGGAGCTTCCTTAGATTTACATAATACATACCCCACTATCCCCGACCACCTAACTCGTCCTTCTGCTAATCTATCCTCAATGAACCCCACTCTACTTGTAGGCATATATTTTCATTTATTCTCTTATATATTCTAGTATGGTATCACATCCATCTTACATCTTCAGTTCTGGTAGTCTTAGTTCTACTTACCTAAAACATTTGGATCTAAAGTATGCCTTCAAAATATTAATTTGCGATCTAACCCCTCTTCCAGTCTTATACTAAAGTATGTCATGATGAATAATATATACCAAGGTACCTCATCTTGGATTAGACTTGCAAGCAGTACTATTCTCCTAAGTAATCTAAATTCCTATTTACAAATGTGGGACATCACAATTTGTTTACCATAATAATCGGGCGAGGCATACTAGTATGGCTTATGGCTTACATGTTAAAAAGTTACTGGCAGCTTCAGTAGCATGGGAGTTGTTGAAAGAATAATCACAACATTAGAAGTCCTGAAATTGGAAGACGAAGAAGTTGATTTTGGAAAGGAAGTTGGCCTTGGATATGCAAGTTAATACACTTTGCCTGCTTTTTAATGTACAAGAAAACGTCTAGAACTTCTTCTTGTACATTATATAAAGAGTTGAGATTGTAGCGTTGAATCATCAAGGGTGAAGTGAGCAAAATAAATCAGTTTAAATGGAACATGCAGTAGCAACTTTTGTATCAACATTCATATTTCATAATTGTAATTCAGATTTTATTCATTATCTATTTTTTGCACCCCAACAAACAAAATTGTTCAGTACAAAAAAATAAATAAATGATAAAATTGAATTTCATTTATGAAAATTCAGAGTACAATACAAGAGCTGCTACTGCACATACTATTTTTGCTGATTGTTTTTCTTGCTCACTTTTCTCTTCACCATTCACTCTAATCACAACTTCCTTACATAGAGAACAGAGGAGAGTTCTAGATGTGTTGGGGATATAACAAGTTAGTTAAAAAAACAGACACAATTCTACACTTGTATTTTTTCCAAAGCCAACTTCTTGATTTTCAAAGCTAAGACTTCATCTTCCAAAGACATAGTAGTCTTCAACAATTTCCAAGCTTCTCGAGATTGAAATCTTTTAAGACCTACAGAGAACATGAAGTGTGCATCCTTTTATGATCAAATGGTGATATTGCTCATATGTATTTGATTGCATGTCCTTATTGCTCACGTATCTTATTCAATCACCATTCTACTAAACCAAATGTTGTTCGTTTGTGGAATTTACTTATACTTTCTTTACTTTGTTTTGTTTTTTGCGGGTGTGGGGTGGGGTGGGGTGGTGGGGAGTAAGAGGGGTAGCAAAGAATTCATATATTAACAGGAATCACACATCAATACTCTGTCACATTCTGAAATACAACATTAAACTAAGAATAACAAGTGATCATAACTTGCAGATACACTTACCATGGATGGTATATTAAAGTCGAAGGCATCAATCCTTTTGTTGGTCAACCAGTAATCCACAAAGGGACCTAACATCAGCAGAGATCCAGCCTGGACTGGTGCAGTGTGTCCAAGCAGATTGAAGGAACTAAGTGAGTAGTTTCGTTGTAGGTAATGAACATACTGCATATAAAAACCCGAAGTTACAGAATAATCTCTAGAGCTTGCAACAGAATATCAGAAAAGCATAATGCAATCGAGAACCTCCATGTTGTCTATAACAAACTAGGACTACATTCAGAGCAAACAGAAAACTCATTTTCTTTCCTAGAAGTATTGAACCACAGGATCTTGTCAAGGTACAGAAAATCTGTTTCAGTCAAATTCTTGTGTGACGGCAATAAAATATCTCATCACACTAGGTCAAAACACTTAACAGGAATGGATAACTTACATACTGTTGAAGAGAAGTACACCAGACTGCAATAAATGCAGCAATGAACCCTTTGGCATTAACACTCACATCAGTCACTGTGCAGACAGCAACCCCAAGGAGAACAACAACAATACCGAGTTTTGTGTCTCTTGAATACCGGATCTTGTCGAACACAACTTCTAATAAGCAGGACACAGGGATCATACTCAGTTTCGCAATCTGAATTTCATATTAGAGATAATGACACCTTAGAAATCTGAATATTTCGGAAGAAGATAGCAAAATTGAAGGGCATAAAAATTACCTGGTAGAATCCCACTGAATTCCACATTAGACTGACATTCATCCCAACAATTGAGAAATTTGCAAATAAGACAAACTTGAGAAGCTCTGGAAGAGGTAAATGAGAAGGTTGTATGTATCCCAGCCATCTAAGAACAATTGTCATCAAGGTTGTGGTAGCGAAATGCATACCAGTTAACGTTGTAGCTGCAAGGATTGTAATAATTAAAAAGCAGTAAACCCCTCAAAATGGTTGCAGGATTGGATAATTAAAAATAATATGAATGATAGCCAAGCAAGATAAAACCATAAGGTACATAGAAGAAAAACCCTATTGTCGTAATATTTTCATGATAGCCGAAAATGAAACTAACAAAGATTATTGTCAACTTGGGCAACTATTGTGATCAACTTATCATCCTATCAATACCCCCACCCACACAACAAATCCTTATGATTTCACGTCAACAAAATCACTAATGGATATATTGCTTCACATAGTAATGACACACATCAATCTATAATATTTAGAATTCTATTAAACTGCATTTGGCAGTATGAGGTTGGGGCTCTGGAATTAAAATTATATATAGAAAATATTAAATTCATTCTAGACATCTGCTCCTAAACCAGTCAGTAATTCTGAACTTATAATTCTACTGAAGTATCGCTACATGAAATCTCCTTTTAATAATGGTAATAATTCCTTTTAAGAGAGATTTTCTGCATCACAACAGACAATTGATTGAAAACCAGAAGCTGGGGTCTGAAAACCACATTTGGTACTCCTGATCTTCCATCAATTCTACCACAGACGAATGGTATCTAATCTTGGCTTCTCTAAGAGAGGAAGAGTTGGAGCTTATTACTTCTCAGGACCACAATAATCATGGTCTTATAATAAGCAGCTCATAATCAATAAATGTTAATTGAAAACATTCTCTTATTTTAATAAGCATGTATATACAAGTAGATGAAGTTATCACAAAATATGCATATTACTGACAATACCAAGTACTAATCTGGTTTGAGCGTATATAAGGAAATTAAATTTTTAAATAAAAATAATGATAAGAAGTTCAAAGTACATTTTCCTTCCATCGAATTATCTGATAAGAAATTTAGTCATTTACCAAAGCTGAAGCCATAAGTAGCCATCAATGCCTTATTGACAATGATGATGCCAACTGAAGTGACTACATTAAACATCCATGCTGCTGCATCAACTGCAGCCTTCTTCTCAGCTTTGCTCGAAGGAGCCATTATCCCTTTTTATTTCTACAGAACTGTCTACAGTTTATATTTCACTCCTCACCACCATAAAGCTTTCCTCACACTTTCGTTTTCAATTCAAGATTTTGCCTAGTTCCCTGCACAAGCAACATTGAGAATCAAACTTATTAGCCAGATAGTAAATTTTTCCTTTCAATAATTACAACAGTATCACAGAAATTGAGTCCTTCAAACATTTCACCAGTAAAATTGTCAAATAAATAAGACAGCCTTTAGTGGGGAAAATAGTATTTGGTTGAAATTAATACTTGAAACTTTTGATGCAATCTTTACCAATTACTAACAGCCAGTAAGTCAGAACAACTGTACATCATCAGTTACTGGACAATGCAATAGTAATTATCAACTAACTAAAAAAAAATCTTGATATGCTAGCTCCAAATTAAGTGGAAAATGAACTTCTTAATCAAATTGATTAATTGATCAATCTCTAAGTCAATAGTTGACTAAAAGGTAAGACAGCACATAATTTCGATAAAACTGGGAAAATTTTCCATTGACCAGATAATCTTCAAAACTTTCCATATCAAGCGCATCAAAATTCGTCCATATTTCATAATTTAATTAAAATTTTCACTACTACGTTATCAGATCTAAAAAAATCCCAAACCTCCATATCTAAGATCTCATTTAATTTTCAAATCTACTCTTACGACTCACCAAATTACAGATCTAGCCACATGGACTTTAATTCAATTCTAATACTAAATTAACATCAATAATCATTAAACACAAATACATACGAGTGCTTGAAATAATAATTGAGGAAAAATGAGTACCTTTAAGAAGTTTTAACAGAAGTGAAAGTGGTTTTTGGCGTGATTTTCAGATCCTCGCAATCGGAGCTGATTTATCTTTCTACAAGAATCAGTTTAACGTGATTTCGTGTGAGTGTGTATACATGTATTTGTACGTATACGTGTATATATACATATTTGTGTAAGTACGGAACTGAGAAGGGAAGATTACAGTTAGGGAAGTTGCCTTCCTTGTTTCTTCGGCTCCTATTTTTTATTTATATTATTATTGTTGAGGGAAGTTGCCTTCCTTGTTTCTTCAGCTCCTATTTTTTATTTATATTATTATTGTTGAATTAAGAGAAATAAAAAACAAAAAATGGAATATTTGGGATCCCAATCTAAGATTAATGTATCAAGTAAGTCCTCAAACTATTATTTCAACGGTTGAGTCCACATCATTTTCTTAGTACTAAAAAGATATTTTTTATATTTAATGAAAGGGAAAAGGATAAGGAAAACTAGTAAGAAAAGAAGAAACGGCGACTATGGGAGTCGGATTGGATGCAGTTTTTTATCTATTTAGTTAGAATAATGCTAAGTGTACACAATCTTTTACACATCTCTCACGTGGAAGGGGGCCCACA